TAAAGGCTTACTGAAAAGTCAACAACTCAGGCTTTAGAGAAGATGTCATAAGGAAAAAGGAAAACCTTATTTCCTAACTATACCTTACTAAATTCTGTTAAATACTGCGACTTACCAACAGGCCAGAGGTATAGAGAACCATCTGTGTTTCAAGTCCCTTAGGACTTACAAGCCAGCTTTGTTGGCCATCTTACCCACAGATACTTAAATCTACCCATTGATAGAAATCTTTGGACCATGTGAAAGGGGAAAGATAGAGGAAGGCCAAAGAATATGTTTCCCCACCTCAGAGCTCCTCTCAACGTCCAACTGGCAAGGACTGTGGGAATGACATCTTCCTATCTAAGAAAAAACACCTTTCTCCATTACCAGACCACAGTGTGAAACTGCTTTAAACATCTAGAAAATAGATCCTCCTGTAGAAATTAGCCTATGGAAAAGCCTACACAAGGGCAGGGTGGAGTACTGGAAAAATCATGGGCTTTGTCCTTGGACAGCTGGGCGCAGTTGCTGGCACATGGGAGGTGCAGAGTAAATGGTAACCAGTCTACAGTATGAAAGCAAAGATGTTTGCTCATACTTTCTCTGCTACTATCCTCCTTCCTAAATATAATGCTTCATCCTGTTCAAAGTTTCCATGGGACTAAAAGCTTCCATCCTCTGACTCAACTAATATCGGGGCCAGGACACAGCACCGCATAGTGATCAGGAGTTCAGGAGGTGTAGACAATCCCTGGGTTTGAACACTAGCTCTTCTACTTACCGGCTATGTAATCTCAAGTAAGCTGTAAGTGTGCTTATTAACTACTTTTAATGCAGTTATTGATAATTCATTAAGCCTTATCCGTAAATGCGGGTAATTATAGTACCTATACTTCACTTGGCTAATGAGAGAATTAAAAGTGATCATCTATGCACAAGATTCAGCACAGCACCTGGCAAATGACTGTTCAAAAATGTAATTTATTACAATGATCATTATTATTTCCCACAGCAAATATTTATTATTATTATATGTTACTATTATTTCTGTGGCAAACTGAGAAGTGGTGAATTTTACATGATTAATGTGATGCATTAAGAAAGTTCAGCCGAATCCAAAGCTTTCATTCCTCTTATTCCTCATACTCCCTGGAAGTTAACTTTTAGCTGAGGAAATGAACAACTTGTGCAAAATACACAACCAAACATTTACAATGAGAGAGATCTGGCTTTTACGGTAGATTATCGTATATTGTGAAGGCAGCAAGAACCATTTTAAATTTTCTTTTCCTCTGTCTTTTTTTTTTTTTTTTTTTTTTGAGACAGAGTTTCACTCTGTCGCCCATACTGTAGTGCAGTGGTGTGATCATGGCTCACTGCAGTCTTGACTTCCTGGGCTCAAGTGATCCGCCCACCTCAGCCTCCTGAGTAGCTGGGACTATAGGTGCATGTTGCCATGCTCAGCTAATTTTTTGTAGAGATAGGGTTTTGTCATGTTGCTCAGGCTGGTCTCGAACTCCTGGAGGCAAGCAATCCACCTGCCTCGGCCTCCCAAGCATTGGGATTATAAACATGAGCCACTGCACCCAGCCCCATTTTAAATGTTCTTAAACCCTGAATACAATGAGCTCTCATTGCACTATACTAGGAGAAAAGAAATCACTGGATCGGTTTCAGAAAGTCTACCTTAGAGGCAGCAAATAAAATTTTCGAATGTTAGTATTAACTCAGGATATTAACAAATAGAGGGATTTATACTATATAGACTAGTTTTTAACTTAAGATATCAATAAATTGAGGGATTTATATTATATAGACTAGTTTTAACTTAAGATATTAATGAATAGAGGGATTTATACTATATAGACTCTTTCAGTTCAGATTTATATTCTATCATTTTCTACACACATGAGTCATGGAGCCACCGCAGTGCACTTCAAAATATTAATAAAGAATTACCTAGAGAGACAGAAATGCCGTGGGAAGCCATCAAAGTGGGTTTTAAGTGATCTATAAAATTAAAATATGACATAAAAATAATTTGTCCTTCCTAGTCTCCTTTCAACTTTCTGGCCATATTTTAACAGTGAATACATAGATGATATACTTAAACATTGAAAACACTGAATATTTCTACCTGAATATTATTTTTTTGTTGGCCATAAACATTCTAAATTTGCCCCAGGGAATTCTCCTTGCATGGCAATCATGCAAAATTTGTTTTAAACATTTTTCTTCTACTTTTGAAGCCATGCAAAGGGAAGTGTATATTAAAAGCTTTTTCATTCACCGTTTGCTTGGTTATTAATTTGGGAATTAAACTTTGTTTTCATAACAATTCTTCACACATAAATACTGGCTTTTATAACTCTACCTTTAGAATTTGATGTTCCTTCTTCATGAGGAAATAAACTGTTAAATTACACAATGAAAGATCCTGGTTAAACAACTTTTGTGAAAACGGGAAATTGCTATATACAAATGGGCACATTTCTAAAAATTTGAAAGACTTAAAAGACATTTAACACTAAAACTACATATATTTTAGACAATCCAATCTTTTACTGGTGATGGAGAAGATTTTTTAGAATGTTACAGTCCTAAACGTTATTATTTAAAATACTGGCCATCATTATATTATATCTATTTTCCGGAGCTGGTAATAGTGCTCTAGCCAATGGGAAGCCAGGTAAAGCTAACTTTTACTCTGCCAATCTGCCCCATAAGAACTCTGCCCCATAAGAACAAGAACACAATCCTATTAGATCCTTCCAAAATTATAAACATTTTGAACTAGAGAAATTCTGATTTAGACAATTTAATTCTCAGTCGTATATAATTAACCTGAATATACGGAAATTCATTTTTAAAAAAGAGCTAAAATTAAGGATGGACTTTAAAAGTGCCAAACCACACAGATAATCATGATAGAAACATAAAGCAAGAGATTTAATATTTTCTTTATCTAGTAAAATCCATAAACTAGATCCAGTTTGCATTTTTAAAAAATCAGATGATAAAGCATTCTAAGTCAATTCAATAAGTAATTAATTTCAATTAATTTGCATGACCTTCTTGAGTTTTGTATAGTACATGCATTAATTTTCTATTGCTGCTACAAAAAAGTCTCCCTGGGATAAAATCAAAGTTGGTAGGGCTGTATTCCTTCTCTGGAGGTTCTAAGAGAGAATCCCATTTCTTTGACTTTTCCAGATTCTAGAAGTTGCCTGCATTTAAGGATCATGTCCGCTTCCTTTACCTTCCAAGCTAGTAGCTAGCATCCTCAAATCTCTCTTTGTCTCCTCTGCCACTCTTAAAGGGCACTGGGATTACATTAAACCCATCAAGATAATCCAGAATCATCTCCCTAATTAAAGGTCAGTTGATTTGCAACCTTAATTCCATTTACAACCTTAATTCTCCCTTAATGTAACCGAACATTTTCATAGGTACCAGGGATTAGGATGCAGGCATCTTTCGGGGGTTGGGAGCAGTTATTATTTTGCCTACCACAGTACATCAGATTTATATCTAAATTTCTAATACTAAATTCAAGTCAATATTCACCCTAGCGAATTAAAGTTCTCTAACACTATTACTATTATTATTGTTACAATGTACAATAAAAATGTAAACAGTTTTAAATGTTTTCAGTTAGATAATCACATCTTCTTTCATTAGAGACATGCCAACTTATCCAGCGTCTGACCTCTTTCCATTCTTATGTGGGCAAATTTGACACCAATCAATTGCTTCAATACCTTGTTCGCAATTCAGTTCACAACTCAGTACATTGCAGGTTATACACTGATAAAAATATTAAACTCCCATAAGATAATATAATATACATTGCTTATTATAGTTATTATATTTTAAAATTAAACATATATTGCTTATTATATTTATTATATATTAGGCAAACCTGTTTTTTACTCTGAGCTTACATCTTAGACTGAAATAAAAATTTATTAAGAAAAGACTATTTCACTAACATGGACTTCACACAACGTTTTCAGGAAGTATATTGGAAGATCAGATTAGTAGCATTTGCATAGATTTTGGAGATATCACACTCCATGTTAGAAATGATATAAAGGAAACTTGGCCCAGAGATCTTCATCTGACTTACCTGAGGTCTAACCTGAGACAGAGCCGTCTCCTGACAATAAGTAAGTGTTGTCAAGATTATGATGCTGTTCATCTGACACATAAAATAGGGTGAACTATGACTCATCACTAGAGCACACTGTAAATTAATATCTTTACTAAGTTACACTACAAGGGACTGCAGAAGTAGTATTTTATCATTCTGTTCCATGACAATATATAGCCCTAAGCCAAGGATCAAGGCCTACTAAGAGCCTGTGTAAATTATACAAAACTTATAAAATGTCATATAAGAAGAAGAAACAGTGTGCAAGAAGGAGAAACTAATTGGACAACAAAATCAAAGAATGATGAGCCTATGCTAATAATGCAGATAACTTCCATAAGACAAAGAAAAACTTGACAATATTTAACTGTTTCATGATAAATCATTATTTCCTACTGGTGGAATAAAATAAGAAGAGTATAAGACATTTTTATATGGATTTTCTTGGAGGATGAAAAATGGCTTAGAATTTGCACAGTTTGGCAAATATCATTGTGTCAAGAGTATTTTGAAATTCTGTCATCTTCTCCAATTTTTTTTTTTTTAAATTTTTTAGAGACTGGATCTTACTCTGTTGCCCAGGCTGGAGTACAGTAGAGCCATCATAGCTTATTGTTTGTCTCCAAATATTTTAATCTCTACTTTAAAATATATCAGCTAAACACACCTATATCCCTAACCTAATAAATGAAAAATATAATTATCATGTTAAAACAAGTTTCTTTTTAACATTAAATATATCATAGTTTCCTTCAGATAACAGGACTGAATTCCATTTTTAAAAGTTATGGGGGGAGAAGCCTTTTAAGTTATCAATAAAACATGATTTTCTTGGTATTATAAGGGAGAATTAAAATCAACTTACTTGATGTAATAGGGCACTTTATTATGTGAAATGGATCTTTGCCACGGCAGCTGGACTGATGCTGAGGAAACAAAGGGAGATTATTGGAAACGCTGGAAACCAAAAAGCCTTACACCTTAATGCAAAACAACTGAACATTTTATAGCAAATTCAATGAACTGCTCTGGTTTCTGAGCTGGATTCCTATAATTATGAGATCCACTGGGCCAAACAAAAAATGGCTTTAAGGATTGATTTGAAGTAAAACAAGAAACAATACAGGTTCAAGGTCGAATGCCAACTAATTTAACCTGTTGATAAAAATACTTTTAAATTTTCAAATGGTGTTGTTTAAACTGTAGTATAAATACTACATTTTAAACCTTAGTGCCATCTGGAAACTGTACTCCATATATATTTTTGATAAAACCAAAATTAATTTTACCTGGTATATCCAGATTAAAAATGAGATTTTTGAAGACTGAATTTTCCAGATGACTAATAACATTCTTTACTTTGCATCATAGTCACAGGAGGAGCTACTGAGTACAGATGGCATTTAAATATATTCAATTCTACAAAATTTAAAAAGAGGAAATTTAAAAATAGGCAAAAAGTTGTGAAGAACTAAGGCAATCGTCTAGGCAGAAAAATCCCAAATTTCTTACTTTCATCTGAAACACACAGAGAGCCCAGTCTCCTACTTTTGCACTAGACCTTACTATGATTGAGATTTTATGGGGTTTTTTAATTGAGGTACTTTTTTTTTTTTCAATTCTAGTTACTTCTTACATATAAAAAATACATTATTCCTACATTAACCAATTATTTTAAGACTTATTTAAGAATAATAGTACATGTGAATTTAGTGCCATAAAAGAATTTTGCTAAATGAACAAATACCAACATTCAGATAATACTTTGAATTTTCATACTTTGCAAATATCATCAGATCCTTATGTAGCCAGTTGTCACCAATACTTTTTTTCTCAATTTCATGTCACATTAATATCTTACAACTATTCAGCATTCTAAACTTTGTCAAGCATTTTCAAATATATCTTTTTGGTAAGGAAGCCAGCAAGATACACGTTAAAGTTCCATTTGATAGATGAGGAACTAAATGCGTAGAGATAAAATAACTGCCCAAAGAGTGATAGCCAGTAAATAAATGTCGAGCTCAGATGTGATCTCAATTTCTGAATATCAGTTGAGCAATTTTTCTACTCAACAATTCTTCCTCTCTTTATAAAAGGCAAATATTCTTTTCTCAATCTATGCCCACCAAAGTATAAAAAAGGGATGAAAATGAGGAAGTAGGTACATTATATTTCTCATTAGAGCCAACCTCATTTCAGTGTTGGCACCAGGCTAACAGGTCAGTTTTTATTTTGTGCCTAACTAAACAGGCTTCTTTTATAACCATGGCTAAAGTCCAAGAAATATAATAAAGCCAAAGATTCTAAGCAGAAAAGGATAACAATTATTAAATTTATTAATTGGGACTTTGTTTATACTTCTCCACTCATTTTAATAATTGTTTTGATTTGAATAACTTCCACCTCCTTGGACTCTCAGTGTTAGATAATACAAGGCCATGTATTTGACTTGCACGAAATGTGTGTAAATTTCACAATATTTCACTTCCAAAAGAATATGTGCTTGATTTCTACTATGACAGTGATTGCTAGGTGAAAGTGTAGCATTTCATCAATATTAAAGATAACTGATACTTAGAACTGCAAATACAGTCTCAATTATTTTGTAAACTCCCCTTTCATTTGATCTTGGTATATAGTTTTACATTTTGAGAAACTGAGCTTTAGAAATCTGGAATACTTAATATCTAATAAGTATACAGCAAACCTATTTACTTCATCAACGTTGATGGTATCCGGACTTTAAAAATGTGTCCTGGCATCTAGATACACAGTATATTCCAGGAAGGCCTATACCACTCAAAGATTAACTAGCTAAGGTCTAAGGTTTGTGAAACAGAAAAACTATATGGTGTTGAGGTAGGGGTGGGGGCAGGGAGGACAGTGAGAGGTAGAGAGGTACAGGGCAGGAAGGGGCAGGAAATAACTGATTAAGATTCTTGAAATTGTAAAAGAAAAGCCCAATCTTTAACTGAGGTAAGGCAGTTTATTAATAGTGACAAAAAGATTAAGAGGAAATAAAATGTAATCAATTTAGTTAGAAGATACAGTATTTTTTAGCTATTTCTATGGTTATAGTTGCAAAAAAACTGTCACGATTGAGAAACAAGCTTTGTCCTAAGTTTTAAAGTTTACTTAAATTGAATTAAATGAAACAAATTGCTTTCTTACATATATTTGCCAGAGGAAATGAAAGGAAAGGAATTAATATTTACTGAAAGCATTTGTGTCAAGAACTGTGCTAGGTGCTTTGTGTAATTGGATATGCCTTGTCACTGAGTTCTCAAAACAATCAGAAGAAATAGGTAATATGGTATTTTAAGACACAGAAATCAACCTTCAGAAATTCACAGGTCTGATAAGCGGTAGAATGAATGTTTAAACTCAATCTGTTTGACTATAAATCCTACATTCTTTAGTATCCTCAGCAGTGAATAATAAATAAAGTAGAAGCTCAAATTGTTTATTCAAGATCTCAAGAATAGTCTATAAATTTAAAAATTCCAGTTGAAAAATATTACATAAAATTCTACATAGGTGGTTTGGCTATATATGCAATACTTGAATAGAAGAAAAACTAAATATAATCGCAGTGAGCCTAATAAATCAAAATCTTCCCACTTAAAGATTTACGGGGAGTGATTTTTTTACTTTAAAAGTTGAAGGTGTATTTTAAATAAGCACTTTTTAAGCAGAAAAATTATTTAAAATCTTAAAATACAAAACTGATTTCTTTATTATGAAAAAGTTCATAATCTTTGCCTATGACACAGCAATGATGATATGATACTATGTTAGTTATCATAACAGACATTCCAATGAAAAACCATAGCTAAAGATGAATTCATTTCTGTTCCACCTTGAAGACTTCTCAGCTGTCATTACATTAATACGAATAATAACCATTAAGCAATATTTTCATTGATGTTAGTACCTCCTTACATGCATCTATCTAAATAAACATATTGATAGCAAGGAATACAGCTTCTTCAATTAAAGTGAAAGAAAATGCTAATTCATTCAATTAATGCGATCAGTCCAGTTTATTAGTACTTACTAGAGAGAAAATGCTGAGAGGATGGTCCAAAATCTCTGTGGGCTTCCTGAAGCTGTTTAAGGCGATCATCCACAGAAACCTGTACACATGCACATGTGAGACAGAGGAAATAATTTAATTCTGAAACAATAACTTTAATAATATCTTTGCTTTAAAGACTATAATAAATGATGCTATTGCCCAGGATATGATTGTTTATATAGGCCCCTTCCCTGTCTCAGGTATCAGAGTAATGGTTAAAAAAAAAAAAAAAAAAAAAAAGTCTCCTGGCCTCAAATAAGAGTAAACAGAGTCAGGTACTCTTCTAAGCAATTTATAGAAATTAACGCTTTAGTCTTCATAATAACTGTAAAAGTTATTTTTATCATCATCTTACAGATTAAGAAACTAAAACACAAAGAGGTACCCAAGGACATAAAGCTAGTGAGTGGCAACACTCCTGTTTGTATTTTGGTCATACAGTGCCAGAATCTGTGCCCTAACTGTTACTCTGCATTGCCTCTAAGGCAGTACATTGTCTCTAAAGCCTCTAAAGTCAAAATGTGGTCATGGAATCAGTGACTACTCATCTCTCTTTTGTAAGGAAGATGGTACAAAGTGTTACAGGGAGCAAATGAAAAAGAAGCCTAGGAAACTAGATAGTTAGATAATAGATTTTATATATATATAAAATCTCACCATATATATATATGGTGAGAGAGAGAGAGAAATAGACAGTACATAGATAGTGGATAGTTAGAAGGATAAAGTGAGGTGGTAGAAGATAAACAGAGAATGAAAAGACATGTGAGTATGCAACATCTTATTTTCCTCCAAATTTGTATCTGATCATCTCTACTTGGGGTTGAGACATATATTTAAGTTTGTACAGGCATATTAACATACTCTCCATATTTTTTCATATACATTTTGGGGTTTGGTTTTGTTTTGTTGTAAAGACAGAGTCTCACTATGTTGCCCAGGCTGGAGTTCAGTGGCACGATTATGGCTCACTGCAGCCTCGACTTCGTGGGCTCAAGCAATCCTCCCACCTTAGCCTCCCAGGTAGCTGGGACTACACGCATGTGCAATCACGCTGGGTTAAGTTTTTTTTTTTTTTTTTTTTTTTTTTTTGGTAGAGACAAGGTCTCACTATGCTGCCCAGGTTGGATACTCTACATCTTTTATCCACATCTTTGTTTTTGTTTTATTTTTAGAGACATGGTCTCACTCTGTTGCTCAGGCTGGAGTCCAGTGGCACAAACATAGCTCCCTGTACCCTTGAACTCCTAGCCTCAAGTGGGCCTCCCACCTCAGTCTCTCAAGGAGTTAAGACTACAGGCGCACACTACCACACCCAGCTAATTTTTTCAATTTTTATTTTGTAGAGACAGGCTTTTCCTGCGTTGCACAGGCTGGTCTCAAACTTCTGACCTCAAGCGACCCTCTCACCTCAGCCTCACAAAATGTTGGGATGACAGGCATGAGCCACCATGCCCAGCCTTTGTAAAATACACATTCTATAGTTAGTTATCTGCATTATGAAAATGTAAAGGGTTACTACACTGAGAAACTAAATGCAAATCACTAACAACTGCACACAGCCTACTGACATTTCCATTTCCTTTTTCTAGCCTTGGTCGTGTAATGCTAGTTATTGTTCCACTTAGAAGGACAACCTCATTTGCAGTTGTTCTTAAATGAAACTGTGTATGTCTGGTTCCCTAGACAGCACTAGTTCCTCCTGGTTAGCTATTTAAATTGCATTAGTATGCACTTTGTTCATTAAGGCCTAAAAGCATTCAAATGCCACACTTTATGAGTAAAGAAAATATTACTCCTGTAATTCAACAGTGTTGCCCACCAGCATAGATTTTTCTCTTCTTATCCAACCAGCAACTAACATCTGAGCACTAGAGGTTACCAGGATCATAGATAAGGATGACAGAATACATATCTTCTTTCAAGTATAACATATTCCCTGACTTCTAATTGGAATGGTGATAACAGAAATAGAATGGTAAGTAAATCAAGATGGATCATAAGAATCATCACATGAAGAAAATGAATTAGAGAAACAAAGCAGAAGAAAAAAAAAGAATAAAGAGCAAATATTTCTGTGTTTTACCCACTAGAAAAACATGTATACATTTAACAGATTTTGCTTTAGTAATCCTAGGTTATTAACACTCTTTTCAAAGACTGAGATTGTAAAATATTATACACTAATTTCTTACTTTTTCAATTTCATTAAGAAAATATGAACGATTGAGTGCTTGGATATTTGAATTAATTCAGCAAATCTATTATACGATAAAATACTATATCTCTCAAATGTTTGTATGCGCTACATCAAAATTGCATATTTAAATAAGGTCTGCAGTCATTAAACCAACTGCATTAGCTGAAATCTGAGAACTAAAGGTAAACACCACTGGTATAAATATGCTATCTTGAAAAAAATAAGAAAGATATGTAAATAGCAACCAGTTAGAAGAAAAACAATAGAGACTTTCCTAATTTTTCAAAATGGAACAAAAAAATACATGATGAAAGTAAGAAAAATGACTCCTTTATGAGCCATTATGTGAAAAATGTTTCTGTGACCTAACACAGGTTTCAATTACTGTGATTTATTTAACCTTTTGCAATTTTCCACAAATATCATATGAATAGTACACCAAAAAATTGAATTAAACTCTATAAAGAAAGAGGCCTTTAGGTTCAAGATACTGAAAGACAAATACCTGATGTCATCACATGCTAAATTCATTATCAAATACCATCAATAAAGAAAGAGAAAACGGTGAGTGGTAGAAGAGTGAGGTAGGGTTTAAAGGCCACCCAAGGTGTAAGCCTGCATTACAAAAGGGAATAAGCTGACACCTGTAAAAGTTTCCATCGCATATTAAGGTCATCTAGCTGGCGAGACATCTTTAGAGAGGGATGCAGGTCAAGTGGAGACAGCTGACTGGATAAATCATTCACTGTTTTAACTTTTAAGTTGATTGGCGCAATTTCTTCTCTAAATGCCTAGAAGAAAAGAACCAAAAATATATTATTGGAAAAGAATATAACAAAAGCTGGTACAGCTGATCCTTGAATAACTTAGATCTGAACTGCATGGGTCCACGTATGCACAGATTTTTCTCAACCAAACTGCCTGGGTCCACTTATGCACAGAGTTTTTTCAATCAAACATATGGAAAATACAGTATTTGCAGGATGTGAGACCCACGTATATATGGAGAGCTGACTTTTCGTACATGCAGGTTCCACGGGGAAATGTGGGACTTGAAGTATGCATGAATTTTGGTATATGTGGGGTCCTGGAACTCTACTTCCAAATAAATGGCAAGACCATCTCAGAGGAAATCAACTACAGTTGCCCACTCAACAACAGCTGACTTAATTCAGGTCTTCGGTAACTTGGATGAAGAACCAAAAAGTCACTGTTTATTACCCAAAGAATGTAAATAAGTGTGTGAAGAGAAAAATAATTCAAACTTATTTAAATGATTATGTATTTCCTTTCATGCTTTTTATTACATGCAGTTTACTCTGGAAAATGTTTGCCATTATTTTCTACTTCACTGATACCTAATGTTGATTCTATCTTTAGTCTGTATTCATATTTTCTTTTTATTCTGTTTTAACATAGCTACCTTAATATTTTTTCACCAAATCCAACAACTTGATTTTAACATGTTTCCACTTAAAATTAAGTTAGAAAGTGGCCTGCAGAAACAACATTCCTAACCATGAAACCAATGCCTATTACAGACTCAAGAGGTAAGATCTATCCCTGTCCAAATCATTTTTAATCATTCTGTGGTTAGGCCTTGGGCAGGAAGAGTGGAATCTACAGGAAAAAAGATAAATGAGTCTTAGAATTGACAAACGCCACCTCTGAGCAAGGTCTAGAATCATTAAAACAACTCACTAAGAACACTCAGAAATTGTAATTATGAGCATCCATATTCTTGATGTCCCCAATGAAGAATGGAAGCTGCTTGGGAACAGACGCTCACTATTCAGTACAGGACATGCAATCCAAAAGAGACAGAATTAATTTCTATTGACAGAGGCCCACAAAATGATATTTGAGCAATATTTAAGCTAAAACAGAATGGAGAACAGAACTGGGATACTAAAGGAAAACAGTTTAGGTTTAAATTGGCCACAAAATTATAGTTAATAATGTACCAAACTTAAATTAGAAGTAGTAGGGATGGGGGTAGGGGGTGGGATAGCATTAGGAGATAAACCTAATGTAAATGACGAGTTAATGGGTGCAGCACACCAACATGGCACATGTATACATATGTAACAAACCTGCACATTGTGCACATGTACCCTAGAACTTAAAGTATATATTAAAAAAAAGTAGTAGGTGTTATAAACATCCCATTAGCTTCGGCCCTCAGGTTTCATCATTTCTACATTGTCCACTCTTTAAGTAGGGAGGCTCTTTAAGAGACTAGAGTCAGCATAAGAACTATGAATGTTGGAACTTTGAAGTCAACATGTGTATCAACATTTCAAAGACAGGGTAGAAGAAGGGAAGCATACAAATTCATGGGAATTGCTGCAATACGGAAGGAGAAGAGCTGAGGTAGTTTTTTTCTGTTGCTGCAGATTTGGCATTTTAATAGATGACAGAATGTGCACACACAAGCCAACACACAAATACAATTAAATAAGAAGAGCAGTTGTATGGTAACAGAGACATTATAAGTGTAAAAAATTCACAGTTAATATAGAAGCACAGGGAAGGAGGAGGTGTGGGTTAGGGTGGGCAAAGGGAATGTTTCACTCTGGACTTTGAAAAGGCCGGGGTCCCTCAGCTTCAATTTGAGAACAATTACAGAATTCAAATCCTTCAAGGTTTCTTCAGTCATGATTCTAACTGTATGCATTAATATTCTCTCCATGGGTAGGTACCTTGGAGGACTCAAGAACTGTAATTAGCTTTTAAAATCAACATCTTTTTATTTTTTATCTATTAAAGATTAAAAATGAAATGCTAGAAAATGTTTTGAGATGCATATAATTTCAAATAATAGCCTATTTTATTTCAAAAGATAGTAAACTTTAAAACAATAGAATATAACTTCAAGACAGGCTTTAAAAATCTTTTGGAACAAAAAAGAAATTTAAATTTTTCCTCTCCAAAAATAATGTTTCTCTATATAAGCCACAGGTTAAAATATTTAAAAAGCTTTGACAAACAAGGTCTTTGGTTTTTGTTTTTCATTTTATGGTCAGGTGTTATATGGCAATGAGGAGTCTTTGTATCAAGAAAGTTTATCTTTTGTTTTTGAAGAGCTTCCAAATTAAGGGGCTTGAGATAAAGCAAGTTTTAAAATGGTTTCAGAACTGCTGTGTGTTCTAGTATAAAGAACCAATTTATCATGTTATGACTGCACTTTCCTATAACAGAATAAGAGACTATGTGGCCTTCCTTGCCATAAAAACAGAACATCTGCTAGTATCAAAGGTGCTAACTGGCAGTCTGTTGGCAGGTGTGACTCCGAAGCCCTTCTCCTGCCAGAAGGTGTGTACTCTGTAAGTAAGAATGATTAACGATAATTTCAGGGAGTTGACATAATCTGATTATCCCCAAGGATTTTGTTTTCCAGTTGCTTTGACATATTTAATAATATTTAGCAAAATTCAGTACATATTTTTATCTGACTACACTGTCAATGAGATTTGGGGTACACTTTAAATCATCTCTTATCTCTCTTATTATCTAAATTTTATTAACTTTTTTCTGGAGATGTTCTAGAATATGGGGACCAAAGGGGAGGTAACCATAGGTCTAACATCTATAGCTTTGGTCAATTCCTGACTACAAACAGAATTTATAGCTAAACTAATTCTTCATTAATATACAAAAAGATGCAATTTATAGATGAGAGTTCCCAGTAAAAGAGTGTGCTTTTGATTAAATCTCTATCTCCAACCACCAATTTACAAGAGATATAGAGTAGAGAGGAACCTGGAGACTATACCATATGGACACAACTCTGCAAAATCCAGGCTCTGGGAATCAATACAAAACAAACAATGCAGTGTCTTTAACAAATAAACTGAAAAGAAAAGAAAAAAGGAAGAGAGGGGAAATCTGGAGATTAAAAATATTTTTTAAAAATAGGGAAACCTAATCTATATTGCCTAGAGATGCATAGTTGGATAAAAAATAAAAGTAAATGTAAATTATCATAAAAGTTGCATTAGTTGTTATTTGGGGGCAGGAGGTTCCAATGGTGAGAGTCATATGGAAGGCATCTGTCCTGACTCCTGATGGGTGAGGCTGCAGAAGTGTTGGCTTTGTAACAATCCCTTATAACAATTTATATGTGTGGCTCTCTTCATTTACATTATATTTAACAAGAAAACATTTCTTAAAAATCTTTCAAAGACAATGATGCTGACCATGATTTTTTCAATGTGATCCTGCAGCGAGTCAATGAGTAAGTCTCCCACGGGCTTCCAGCCATTGCGCACGGACTCTGCCTCCTTCATGTCAGCGTCCAGGTCATCCATAGCTCCCTGCAGGTCTCTGAGTTTCTCCAATGCCTTGTCCACTTGCTTTTGCCAATTGCTAGTTACAGCATTTAGACTTTCCCATTTTTCTTTGACTTCAGAAGACTGTTTGCGCATGGCTTTGGCAATCTTTTGGGCTTTCTCCTCAGGAGTCAATTCTGTGATTAAAAAAAAGAAAAAGAATAATTTGGATGTCTGATTGTATATTCTTAATAGCCAAGCGTGAGTGTTACCATAGCTACTGAGGTATACAGAGAAAAAGTAAGAAAAAATTACTCTAGGATAAAAATTGTCCAGGTCAAGAAAAAATTCTCCATACTTCATCCATGAATTATCTACTACACCTAATCATACACTCAAAAGGAGAATAAAATAGTTACTGAGATTAGTAAATTGACCTGATTTTTGAATTTTAACGTATTTATAAAGCCACTGAAATCTAAGAAGATAACACAAGAAATGAACCAATTTTTCTTTATCATAAATTTAGTTACACAAAATCCAAAGACACTTTTTCATTTCAGTATTCTCAAGATAAATGGTAAGTATAATTAATGAAGAATGACTATAAATTATAAGCAAAAACTCTCAGAAAATAAGATTAATTTATTTTGTTTCTAAAAATAAATAACTGAAGGCAAATAACATACCTTAGATAGTGGTCATCTCTAAGGCTGCTTGGCAGTTTCTTTTTAATAAAGGGCATCATCTGCAGCCCACAAACATTTTAGCAGGAAGATAGCAAGATTTCAAGGACCACCCCAAGTATGTAACAGAACAAGGTGGCTTCCACAATCCCTGAAATAAACTTTTTTCAGATAAAAATAGCAGGCATAACACATGGACAGGCCACAGGATGTGGGCTGGAACCGTCCAGAGGAGAAGCAAAGGATATAGATAGAAATCAAACGGTTCCACACTCCTGGGACTTCACTATCTTCTACACCTTAAAATACTTCCTTTCCTATCTAGCTGGTCTGATGGTGGCATCTAACCGTCTGCTGCAAATAAAGAGGCAGTGCAATCGACATAAACTGTACATTAATTTGAGACAGAAAACACATTCTTCTTTGTGATAACATCTCATCTTTCAGTACACAGCACATTAGCAATTTCCACTTCACCTCAAAATGTTCCAAATCACTTGGAAAATGATCATCATAAGATGAACTTCATCATAAAATGCACAGAAGCAAGCTCTCCTAAACCGTAATTTTCATCCTCAGTGTAAATTGTTCTGCCTGACTTTATTTAAATATTATATAAAAGCCAAGTCAAGGGTGGTGGAACATATATGTTTGTCTCTCTAAATTTCCAAAAAAGTCTAGACATTGATATTTAGTAACCACAGAACTACGAGTTGTGCCGCTTAAGTGGTGGAAGTCTACAGGGAAACTTCAAAAATCTCTTGGCAGCTGAACTGAAGGAAAGAAGAGAAAACATCACAATCGGTAGATAGGCTGAACATACCAGTACAAGATAAAGAAAGAAAATAAGTGAATTAGAGGTCAGGTGTGGCGACTCATGCCTGTAATCCCAGCACTTTGGGAGGCTGAGGTTGGTGGATCACCTGAGGCCAGGAGTTGACCAGCCTGGCCAACATGACGAAATCCCGTCTCTACTAAAAATATAAAAATTAGCCAGGTGTGGTGGTGGGTGCCTGTAATCCCAGCTACTCAGGACGCTGGGCCAGGAGAATTGCTTGAATCCAGGAGATGGAGGTTGCAGTGAGTGGACACAGTGCCATTGCACTCCAGCCTGGGTGACAGGGTTGAGACTCTGTCTCAAAAAAAATAAAAAAAATAAAAAATAAAAAAATAAGTGAATTAGAGAAACAGGTTCAAGTAACCATCAAGGAGCCCAGAGAAAAGCCCTAAAACATGCAACATGTCAGGATTGCAAAGGCTTCTGAGAAAGAAACTCTCTGAAGGCCGGTGTATCATTAGAAAGGCAAACTTTATTTAAATCTTTATACCTGCAAGATATCTAGGCCAGGCACAGTGGCTCACACCTGTAATCCCTGAACTTTGGCAGGAGGTCAAGGCGGGTGGATTACCTGAGGTCAGGAGTTTGAGACCAGCCTGGCCAACATGATGGAAACCCCGTCTCTATTAAAAATAAAAAAAAAAATTAGCTGGGTATGGTGGCGCACGCCTGTAGTCCCAGCTACTCAGGAGGCTGAGGCAGGAGAATCGCTTGACCCTGGGAGGCAGAGATTGCAATGAGTTGATATTGTGCCACTGTACTCCAGCCTGGGCAACAAGAGCAAAACTCCATCTCAGGAAAAAAAAAAAAAAAAAAAAAGATATCTAAAAAATGATATATAATACTTACATTGTATACATTTTATATAAATATAAAATGCTATACCTAAGATGAAAAAAATCATTCTTAGTCTCATGAGGTGGTAACTTTTATGATTAAACACCTGTGTTTGTTAATAAGTTACTTGGGGTTTTTCAAAAATATATCTTAAGCATGGACTACTGTAAAAAAAAAAATACTCATTTCAGAATGGACAACTTAATTATGGTAATTTTCCTCAGATAAAGTAAAAACTCATTCTGTCAGACATTAAATAACCTGGCACAGGGAGGCCCATGGGTTCTTTGTCTTGTGAGAAAACATCATCTACTGCCTCTGACATTTTTGTCTTTCCTTAATGTAAAAATCTATTGATTGAGCAGTCCTTGTGCAGTATTTCTTACATAGTCCCCACTCAAGCAGCTACTCAGAAGAAAAGAAAAATTCTATGTTCAATCACCATCTGTCTGCCAGAAAGGAAACATTAACGAATCACTTTTGAGTCAAAATAAGAGATTCCCAATGCAGCAACAATCTCAGCTGAATGCATACTTTAAGCCAAGCACAGGGCAAAGTAAAAAACAAAACAAAAACGTTCTAGAAGTCTGTGAAACACATAAGAAGCAGCAACATGTGAAATATGAAGGTATGACTATTTAGGGTAAAATGAATAAATAAATAAATAAATAAATAAATAAATAAATTCAAACATCCAAAAGGCAGAAAAAAAATGAAAAAAAAAAAAAGGAAATGATTGCATTCTTAAAAAAATAAAGTCCTCTCATTTGAAAATCATAGGACAAATGTTACTTGAGAATTTCTGAATAAGTATTCTGTGGTAAATGCTAAAGCCCACCTACACGAGTAGAGAATCTTCTCCACCAGTGAAGAACCCTGGTGTCATATTAGAAACGACCCTCACAGTGAGGGATTGAGTGAGTTTTTAAGGTTGATAATCCAGGGGCCCTCCCCCAAAAGGTAATGATTTGGTCAGCGTAAGGTCTGCCATGGATAGATACCAAAGCTCCCCAGGTGGTTCTAACAGGTTGTCAGGATGGAATGCAGCTAGCCTATTGGCACGTAAATTGATTTCTCTGGACCATGTAGCTGAAGCTCATCGGTCGTTTTCACTCCATTGGGTTTCTGGGTCAACCCCACACAGAGCACAGTCCCTAAATACTGGAGGCCAGAGAGCAAATGAAGCTCAGTGATAAGAGGGTAATCTAATTTGCATTGAGAAAGGTGTAATAGAGGCTAATGCTAGAGACAGAGGAAACAGCAGGAGAAAACCAAATAAATTTGCTAGCAGTTCTGAGACCAGAAGACTTTTTTTTTCCTATGTCACTTTCCTACTCTCTAAAGTGAGTGTGTGTGTGTGTGTGTGTGTGTGTGTGTACCCTGTCACTCTCCATTCTCCTCCCTTCAGGTCTTCCCATTGAACTGGTCAAAATTTGAGGGTAGAATTATATTTTAATTTTTATTACATACATATACCCTCAGCTACTCAGAAGAAAATATATATATATATATTTATGTATAATATACATAAGTAAAATTATGTATATATTATATATAATTATATATATATATACACACACACACACACACCATTTTTTTTTAGTCAGGGTCTTGCTCTGTTGCCCAGTTGAAGTGCAGTAGCATAAGCATGGCTCACAGCATCAAACTCCTTGGATGAAGTGATCTTCCCACCTCAGCTTTCTGAGTAGCTGGGATCACAGTTACGTGCCACAGTGGCCAGCTAATTTTTTTTTTTTTTTAGGGATGAGGTCTCACTATGCTACCCAGGCTGGTCTCAAACTTCTGGCCTCACGTGATCCTCCCACCTCAGTCTCCAAAAAGGTCTAAGATTACAGGCATAAGCCACTGGACCTGGCCTCTTACTTAAACTTTTATATTTATTTATATTATATATTTATACAATATGAATATTATAGCTATTTTATATTCATATTTTATAATTTTAAACGTCAATTTATTTATTGCATTACAAATCTATTTAAGGGAGCACAGATAATTATCTTTTAGAAAGAAGAAACAGGAAGAAGACAAAGAAAGAGAGGAAAAAGGAAAGATTAATCCTGATGTTTTCTGTCATCCAATTACCTTTACTTCTTCAAATATGCAAATTAGTGGCACAGCATTTATGCCACACTCTCCTTTATACCATGAGGAAAAAGACTATAATATACGTCACTAGAATGCAGGTGAAAAACCAAAGCTGGACCATGAACAGAGACTAGGATTTGGAATCAGTCCTGCTCCCATTTTGCCCATTGCTCCTAGGCCAGTTACTTGACCTGCCCAGCCCAGTTTTATCAAGTGCAAACCCTATTTTCTCATGCTAGAAAAATATTTCAAGAGTCGATTTTACCTCAATTCAATTATGTAAGAAGGTGTAGCCTCTGTACATCTCAAAGAAATCTTAATAGTAGAGGGGAAAAAAAACCTTCCTTTGAGTGCTTATGTAAAGCTATCTTTTAAATTTTAAAAATGAAACTATGTCTCTCCCATGAAATAATGATAGAAATTTATTAGAATTAGCCCAGTGTTATTGTTTAATAAACATTTCCCATATGTATTGTATTTTTTTTCTCAATTATGATATCAACATTTATAATCTCCATTGTGGCTTTTCTACTCTTAGGTTTTAAAGCCCAATGTCATGAATGTTTTCTTTCCTTTCATATTGATTTTACAGTAGCCAGTCTAGAGACTGGTGTGTCCTCAGTATATAATTGCTTAATTGAGTTGAACTGAATAGAATTTTTAGCGCTCCTTTTATTGAGAACATTCAATTTTACACTTTTAAGTGGACATATTTTCACGTCATTTT